CCCCACCCATATCACCGTCTGTACCGCCCAACCGGGGATAGTTCAGCCCAGGCTACACAGCTGTCAAGAAATGCTGGCGCTAGCATCGTCGGCTACAGAGCTAAACAAAGAACCAACAGGGTACTGGGGAAACGATATGAGAGGACGGACGCCTTCGCAGCTCGTATTTCCGCCTGTTGCCGTGGCAAGCTGGGCTGACGTCGCTCCGCAGAGTTTAGCTCCGCGTCGTGCCGGATGCGGTGTTACTAAAAGCGTGAGCCTAAGCGGCTTACCACTTGGAGTCGATGGCAGAGCAGTGCACGATGGTTGTTTCAGATCCCTCAAGAGGCTTTGAATGGAGCAAGGTGGGCGCCCTGGCGAGTGGACTGAGCGTGGTGGGGGAAGGAAAGAGGGGGGCATGAAGACTTCGGGAGACATCCCCTCACGACATGGCCCAGAAGCGCTGAGGATCACAACGGTACGCGTTCCTCTCATTGGACCTCTGTCCTGCAATCGAACAGGCAGCAGCAGTGCCATGGAGCGTCACACGAGGGGATCTCCTTCACGATGGCGTCAGTCACATCAGCCTTTCCCGGGGTTCGTGGGCTGTTCTTGCCTCGGTGCCCAATGGTTTTTCCAGAAGTTATCCGCAAGAGCCTCATGTGCGGAGTAGGTTTGGTTTTTCCCTGTTTTTATCCTGCGTCTGCAGCGCATCCGGCATTGCCATTCTTCCTCCCGCCGTTGATGATGAGACGAGCACCGGGTATCATGGGAGAAACGGGGCGGCGGCGGCGGCGGCGGCTGATCAAGAGGGCGAAATGACTCAAGCCATGAGACGAGGCTCGCATGATGGTGAGAAACGGGTTGGTGTTCACGCGACAAGCAGATAGCCTCAGCGCTTCGAGGCGGCGGAATCCCCGTTGGTCGTGTGGTTGGTTGGTAGCGCGACCCCGCGCTGGGCAATGCAGGTAAACACGCCAACACAGCAGCGCGTCAGAGGTGTGTTGACCTCGAGCCTGCATGCATACAGCGGGAAGCGGCTATCCGTTGAGCCTTTTCAATTCCATTCTTATTGTTGTGGGGCACAGACTCTGCGGTTGCCTTATTTTGTTGTGATGTCGCACTACAAGCATCCCTACGCGCGACTTGTTGGCTGAGCGCTTATTCTTCGAACCATACCCTCCTTTACTGGACTATTCACATCAACGCTGCCCGGGGTCGGAATCAGTCCGCTCGCTCTCGATATAACCTTGGGAATGATGTACATACGAGATAACAGAGCGATGTCCATTTTCAAGACGACATGAACACGTCATGTATGTAGACGGCGATATTGACATGGCCTCCATCAGCGTTACCTCCAGCTCTTCAACGACTCTCCGCTCCGGGAGAACCAGGACATCTGCGTAACGAGATAAATGCGCCGATTTGGCCCGGTAACTGGTCTCCGTCCGCCAACACTCAGGAAGCCACATCATGGCGGAATCGCGTACGCTCACTCACAACATCGCTAGACCCTTTCCCCATCAAGCATCCGCTTCACTTCTTACAACCAGACCACTGACGCTATCATCACACCTCCGCCGACCACCTCCACGCCCCAGCGTCTCACCAAAGACCCCTTGACCAGCAGCCGCTCATCACACGCACACACACACACACACACACACACACACTTCCGACATCCCGCCTCCTCTTCCTTCCCCCTCCCCACCACGAACAAACCCCACCAACCGCCCATCGACGACCCATCTCCGTCGCACGCCGGCCGCCTCACGAACGAAAAAGCAAAAAAAGCACAAAAGCAAAAAAAAAAAAAGAAAAACGCGACACCACACACCACCGCGCCGCGCGCAATCAGCTCAGCGAAACGAAAAGAGCCAGCCCCCCACCCACCCGCACCAGCGACGTCGATACCCCCCTCAATCGCGCCCCACCATCATCATTCCCGAACTTTCAACTTTTTGGCGTCGGCGCGGCGCGGGCGTCGAAAAAAGCGGTTCGGTCGGTCGGTCGGCGGTCTCGGTAGCGCCCGCCCGCTCGCGCGCCGCGCCATACCTACATACGTAGTGGATATCTATAAATAGCCTGCCTGCCTGCCTGCCGCAACGTACGGGGCTGAGGTTTGGGGGGAAGGGTGGGTGTGTGGGGTTTGGGATCGGGTTTGCGTTTCCCGGCCCCCTTGTTTTGCGTCGCGGATGTATGTGTGTGTGTGTGTGTGTGTGTGTGTACGTTTCGGATTGAAAGTCGACGGCGAATGGGGTTTGTGGTTTCATCGGCTGAGGCATTGCGTGGTGTGGCTCGGACGTGTCGGTCCGGTCGGGTCGGTGGGGCCGGGGAGAGGGAAGGAGCTGGGGGTGGTTGTCCGGAAGTTTATTTTCTTTTTTTTTTCTTTTGGGGGTTTGGGAGCTGAATGGCATTTCGGCGGCGTGGGTGGGGATGGGCCACTTGGATGGTTGGTGAAGGCGGATTTGATGCGCAGTTCGGTGGGTTGGGGGTGGGCGGCGCGTAAGGTTGTGGAGGTCTGATTCTCATGGAGTGTTTTGCATCATTCGTATAGATGATTGAAGTAATATCCGGACGTAGATGTAGGACTTGCGTAGTTACACCCAGAGGTGGATAGACCAATGACCAACTTCGGTGGGGTTGTAGATCTCCGGTGAGACAGGTTTGAGTTCTTTTGCAAACTACTACGGCGACGGAGCTCGGAGAGCCCCCTAGTTAGAAGTGCAATTCCTGTTCTTGGGTCATGGTTTAACTCTGATGATGTAGGGCGGCTTGACTTCACGGAAGATAGTTGCAAACATTTTATGTATAAGAAAGATGTCTACTGATACTTACGGGGAGACAAGCTGCACTGACCGTTTCACTTGTCAAACATGGTTCCAAATAATGACAACTCGCATTGTAAACATCCAGAGGCCTTGGCTAATTAAACTGGGACGAGAACAATCCCAGCATCATTTGCAGCCGGCAGCAAGCACGGGTAAGCTTTGATCCATTGCCTGTAGCACAACACTTTCGCCGTGAAAAATTGCTGCAATCGATACTTCAAACCAAAAACTCTGTGGCAGCGATGTTCCTAAACCCAGCCTTCCTCTCGCTATAGAATCATACAGGCACAATACGCTCCAGTTCGACGCATTTACTCGAACAACCCGAAAGCAGATTTTGCGACTCACATCCCACGTTCCCACGCCAAATTCTGGATCGTCTGCACAGTTGAGCATGATGAATAACCATGTGGTTGCCAGGATCTCTAGGTTTACTGTCACCGATGTCATGATGCTAGATGATGGAGAGGGAGATGAAGAGGAAGAAGAGACATCCGAAGAAGAAGAAGAGGAAAGAAACAGCGACGAGGCCCATCCGGAAGACCTCATGGCTCCACCTCCCACCCAGCAGCAGCAGCAGCAGCAGCACGAGCCGGCCCCAGAAAACCCTCTCCGGCGTCCGACGACGCGTAACTCGCGCAAGTTTTGGCACGTTTCGCAGGCCGAGTGGAACAAGCGCTCGGCGTCAAACAAGAAGGGCGATAAAGACTACATGCGCCAGTATGCCCATGCTGGGCTCATTATGGAGACGAAGCAGGGTGTTGACCGCGATCCTCCTTGCACGGCTTGCCTTGCTGCAAAGGTGGACTGCAAGGTTTTCGCTCCCGGTCACAACCCCTCTTCAACGACCACCTGCGCGCGCTGCCGTATCAAGAGGTGCCCTTGTGTGGCATCTGGCCCGGAAAACACTGGAGAGAAGCAGGATTCGGGTCTGAGAGAGGAGCTGGCGGAGCTGAGGGAGGAGCTGAGGGAGGAGCTGAGGGAGGAGCTGAGGGAGGAGATGCGGCGTCTTAACGCAGCTTCACAGGACAGGATGGAGGAGCAGGAGATGATTATTAAGGCTCAGGCTTACCGCATCAAGCAGTTAGAAGAGAGTAATAGTGCTCTCTGGGAGTTGGTATGAGTCTAGGCGCTAGACTTAATTTGGTTTGCTTTCGATGGTGTTTTGTAAGAGGTCTGGGAATTTGCTTGTAGTGGCCTCGTTTAGAACATGAAAAAGCATTCCCGTGCGCTGGTGGACTTCAGTGCTTCATTCATACAGCGGCATTACTGCCTTCCGGCATAGAAACCGTCGTTTCTGACAAGCAGAAATAGACGGAATACAAACAGAGACCGCGTCAGCCCAAGTCACCACCACAGCTCCCACGGATGGAACCCGAGAACCAAAAAAACAGAGCCGGGGTATCGCCAAGCAACGTCCCACCACAACCACCACCACCCCCTCCTTAGTCCTATCCCCCACCCCTCCTCAGTCCTATCTCCCCCCACCCCCTGCACCACCCCCATCC